ATATATATATATATATATATATATATATATATATATATATATACATATATATATATATACATATATATATATATATATATATATATATATATATATATAACTGACGTTATCAAGATGTAATGAAGAGAAGTATAAGAATGGGGAAAAGAAACAACAATACCACCGGTGGTGGTGCCCAAAAAAAAGGCTAGGCTGCAGTGGTTGGATGACATTAAAAATTCTAGGGGTTTTGAATCAAAAGTCAGACCTTTAAAGGATTTGAATCAAAATTCGTTCGACATTTTGAATTGGAAATCATTCTACATATTTACTTCTCGATTCGATCAAGGATGGGTGTAGTGTTTTTAGGGTTCGATTAGCGATGAACTTGGTGTTGATAAGACGATAATCTGATGGGGAAATACAAAAAGTCCATCCATTGACCAACATTCAGATCCATACAACATACTTAGACCTTTTGTCACATGAGACCCTTTTAGCTTCTAAAGTCCACAATATCGTCTCCTTTGGAACACTATCATATGCTTTTTCCAAGTTGATAAACACCAAGTGGAGGTCCTTGTTTCTTTTTATATGCTTCTCCATAAGACGTCTAAGGCTATGTTTGGTATACTAGCTGAAACGCTAGTTGTTAGCTGAAAAGCTAGTTGTTAAATAAAAAGTTAATGGATAGCTAAAAAGCTAGTGGATAGTTGAATGATGTTTGGTAAAATTAGTTGAAAAGTTAGCTAAAAATATAAAATGACATAAAAGCACATTTAAAAGAATGTGTAACTAAAGATAATTAAATGGTACATTTTAATTTTTTTTAAAAAGCTCCTAAAAATCTAGTCTAAGTAGTTTTATAAAAAGCTAGCTTATAAGTTACTTTTTGGTTTGCCAAACATACAACTTAAAAAAACTCTATTAATAAGTTAGCTTATCAGTTAGTTGTGGCGTACCAAACATAGACTAAATAGACGGATCACCTCAATCGTAAATCGCCCATTATTATCATTAGACTAAATGTCAGGCCCAAGTTTTAGTGCATAAGACTTTGATTGGCAGGGTTTAAAGTCCAACTAATTTCTAAATGGTGAGACACCTAATTCCCCTCTAATAGAACTTTAGAGGTTAAATTCAATAAGGAAAGCTCACACTTAGGCTAAGGGGTATGGTCACCATCAACCCACTAGAAAAGTGTTGTCACATAGACGTCATGTCATCTCCACTACATGCTCACTACCAAACCACAAGCCCTTGGAAAATGGTTGTCACTCCACATTATTTATCTTTTTTGGCATTATATTAAATTAAAAAAAACATATTAAACATAAATAAATATTTTACAAATAAAAAAAAAAAGAACATTAACTTATATAAAAATAATGATTTTAAAATTCAACATACATTTTACTAATAAAAAAATAACATTAATACTTGGAAATTTAAATCTAAAAAATACATAAAAATTAAAGCTTACATTACTAATAAAAAACATTGAAATTAAACTAGCAAATAAAAAATACTAATCGTCGTCATCGTTGTCCTCATCATCATTAGCCTCTTTGTCATTGTCCGACGTCCGCATCCTCATCCTCCTCCTCGTCATTGTCATTGTGTTGTTCGAATTGTTTTTGTCATATGTGCTCAGTCAAATCATGATGTAGATTGTAATATGTTTCACTGATTTGTATTTCCAAAAGCCCTATGAAGTATGTTGGGCTGCCGACTTGTATTACTACAAGTGGATTGAGTATATCGTTTGGATTATACATACAAATATCCTTACCATCTTCTTTTATTATCTGTTATGTAAAATAACACAATATTTCATCACCTTCATCAATTTTTCCCTATCCTATGCTCGTGCCGAATGTTTGATTATGTGTTACTTTTGTTTAAGGACTCTAAATGTCTGTTCCAAATCCTTCCTTGCAAATTCATGTGCTAACTTGAACAATTTTTGTTTTTCATCGGCCGGATATGAGTGTGACTTGACAAATGTAGTGTACTTTGGATATATCTCATACACCAAGGTAATACCCATAGTTATATTCATGTATATTCACAACATATGTCATGTTTTGGTGCTTTACCCTGCAAACTGTCATTAAATAGTGGAGATTCTCCGAACCCCGCCATACCCAAAAATGCATGCCAAAACCATAGGTCATGTGAAAGAATTGCTTCCAATATAATAGTTGGCACGCCATGATCACCTCACGTGAATTGACCTCGCCATGCATTGAGACAATTTTCCCACGCCCAATGTGTACATTCAAGGCTACCAAGCATTCCTCGAAAACTATGTTTAGCTTGATGAGCGTCATACAACTGTTCGACATCACTTCTAGTCAGATTTCCTGAGTATATGACATCATAAAGCACTAGAACATACTCACAAAAAAGATACACACATTCTCAACCCGTCCTCTCAGACATTTCAAATAGTCAGATGATGCGTTTGCAGCTATGTCGTAGGTCAATTGTCTAAGAATTGTTATGCATTTTTGAATTGTAGTAAAACCACGTTTACTTCTAGCATTCCATCTCAATTGAAAAAACTCATAATTGTTTTTCAAATTTCTAGCTATGCGTAAGAATAAATTTATACTAATACGAAAATGATCTACGAATTTTGATAGGTTGTATAAACTATCAGGGGCAAAGTAATCACGTACCAAAAATTCGTTTTACGCAATATGATCCCGATTAATCGATGCTCTACACTTCTTTTTGAAATTTGAACTTTCGCCTCTCTGACGCACCATGTTATGTGTCGCAAACAACAACGTGTGCAAAACTAATTCATCATCAGAATCATCATCATCATATGAAAAAGAAGAAATTGAACCCAAAAAAAGTATTCATATTGTTGAAAGAGTGTTTGAAAGATGTAAAAATATGGAGTAAATTACACGAATCGTCCATCGTGCAAGTATCAAAAGGCATGTTCAGTCCCTATTTTCAAAAATTAACTCAGATCGTCTCTCGTTTGGTTTAAAGTTGCATGCTTCATTTTTCGTTAGTCTAAATTTGCACGCTTCATCGCTTACAAGACATAAAATGACTATTATGTCTTTTTTGTATTTCTTTTCCAATTAATTTAAAGTTGTTATTGTTATTATGAATTCAAAAATATGAAGAGAGGGTGAAGATTTTTCGGAAGTGGTCTTGTCCAGTAACCAGATTTTAACTTGAAGGGGTATGCTCCGGTGGTGGTTATCCGGAAGTGGTGTTGGGTGGTTCTTCAACAGGTAAGAGAAAGGAGAGGAAGATGGGTGAAAAGGAACCAACTGGGTGGGGGTGGGTGGGTGGGGATGTTGGGTTATTTCTCTTCCTGTTGTCACCGTTCTTTGAGGTTTGAGTGAGGAAGATGGCCGATCGAAAATCGAACCGACGGAGATGACGATGTGTAATAGGATTTTCTCCCCCTCCCCCTATCTCAGATCAATATGACCAATACCTCAGATTTAGGATTTCGGGTGGAGATAGAGGCGGTCAAATTTTTCTCTATAAACTATTTCCTCCCACAGGTTTTCTCGATTTGCTTTGATTTGTGTTTATTGATCTAGGGTTTTTCATTTGGGTTTTAATGGAAAAAATGTTGGTCCTAAGTGGTGGGTGATGGTTAGGATGGTGATGGAAGTTTTGGCCCTGGTGGAGGTGTTGGATTGATTGGAAACAATGGAGGTGTTGGGGGTGGCCGGAAACAATGGATGTGCTCACCTGGTGGTTTTTTTAGAGAAAAATGTAATCTTAGAAAGAGGAAAAGTAGGGAAAATGTAAAGATAAGCAAGATAGCTCTCATCTACATGCTGGTGATGACCGACGGAGGTTAAAGGGGATGTCGGTGATGGTGTCTAAAAATTAAGCTACAGTGGTGATAGAAAAAAAAAAACAAAAAAAACAAAGTTGGAAAAGGAAGGGGTGAATGAAGGGATGCAGCGTTGGAGCATGGATATTTATAGTTTTTTTCTTTTCTTTTCTTTTTAATTTAAAAATAACAAATAAATAAAACAAAATTAAAAAATAAATAAATAATGACAAAATGATCTTTTTATGTTTAAGGGATGAAACGTGTAAGTATTAAAATAACAAGGAAAAATCCGACTTAATTTTTAAAAATAGAAATTAAACGTGCATTTTGATACCATGAAAAAACTATTCATATAATTTACTCAAAAATATGTGTAAATATATGTATATATAAAGATTAAGTTTAAATGTGAAAAAATTTATTTTTTAATTCTAACCCAACATTCAAAAAAAAGAAACGGTCAAAACCATTGACCAATCAAATCCTCCGGAACCACGTCACAAGACAGGTACACCCCTCGCGTTAACACCATGGGTTAGGTAGTCACGTAGGACCTCATGCATCCTTTAGCCCCCCTTACCAGTTAGCCTTAAGGATTGGAACACACTCTATATCATCCTAAGTGTGTTCACACCTACAATAGAACACGCTCACACTTAAGGATTGAAACATGCACTCTACTCTATATTATCCTAGGTTAGTGTGTTCACACCTACAGTAGAACACACAAGTGCAGTTCATCAAAACTTGTAATTAAAAGACTTACACAAAAGCCCCAAAGAAAACTATGAAATCATCATATGTATAGAGTGACGATCATATAAATAAATAATTTAAGATGAAATTTGTTCGACAATAATATATACTATTTTAATATATATTAACTCCTCCTACATAGATTAAAAAATTGAGAAGTTTCACCTTTGTTTATGTTCTTAAGTCCACAAAGAAGCTTATTAAACTTATCTATAGATTCTTAAAAGCCCAATATTTATAACAAGTTCAATGATTATCTTAATAAGATAAACAAAACAATCATATATGTTAAAGTGGTATCAACTTTCTTTGCCAACATTATATTCAACATTAGTTGATCACATTGATTCAAGGTAAGATAGATAGAAACATAACTATGAACACAACTTCATGTTAATACCTATAAACTTCATATATTTAAAAAAAAAAAAAAAAAAAAAAACCACCTAATTCAATGCCTACTTGAATTCCTATTCCATGACAAGTAGGATGGATCCCCAAGAGGCCTGCATCATCAATAACCAACCACAACAATAAAACAATAAGCCATTTGCTTTCACATATAAAAAGACATAAGAAAAGAAAAAGACAAGAATACCCTTCTCATCCTTCCTATAAAAAATTGCAATTTTTTGAAAGATAGACAAGAAACTTCCTTCTTTCTTGTCTGGACAAGAATGCAATCTCATACTTATCATCAAAATATTCAAAAAATGTGATTTTTTGTCATCCAAAAAGTTGGAAGAGGATCTCTATGTATATGTGGAAAAGGACAAGAATGCCCTTCTCATCTTCATCATCAAAAATAGTCAAAAGTTGCAAACTTTTGTCACTTAAAAAGTTGTACCAACAAATGCCTCTCGTCTATGGAAAAAGGACGAGAATACCCTTCTCATCCTTATTATCAAAAACATACAAGAATTGCAATTTTGTATCCCAACCAAAAAAGTGGGATTGGACAACAAATTTCTGTCTCCCTAAAAAAAGGTAGGATAAAAACTCCTTTTGTGGTCTGTGCAAAAAGATGAGAATGTCCTTCTCATTCTTATTTTCAAAGACATACAAATATTGCAATTTTCTATCCCAACCAGAAACGTAGGATGGGAAAAACAAAATTTTGTCTCACTAAAAAAGGTAGAATAGATAAGAACTCCCTTTGTGGTCCGTGCAAAAAGACAAGAATGCCCTTCTCATCCTTATTATCAAAAACATACAAATATTGCAATTTTCTATCCCAACCAAATAAGTGGGATTGGACAACAAATTTTTCTCTCACTAAAAAAAGATAAGATAAGAACTCCTTTTGTGGTCTGTGCAAAAAGACGAGAATGCCCTTCTCATCCTTATTATCAAAAATAAACAAAAATTGCAATTTTCTATTTCAACCAAAAAAGTGGGATAGGACAACAAAATTTTCTCTCACTAAAAAAGGTATGATAGATAAGAACACCCTTTACGGTCTATGCAAAAAGACAAGAATGCCCTTCTCATCAAAAAAACGTTGTCCAGTCCAGTCCAGTGTAACAAACAAACAAACGTGTAAGCTAACTCACCGGGGCTTAAAAACATAGAGAAGGATGAAATTTAGTGCCATGAACAAGCAAATCCCACCAACTGTAAGATAAGCAATTCCAAGAAAATCGTTTTTTCCACCAATCCAACTTGTTGTTGATAAAACAAGCTTCTTTTGTCCCCCAAAACTATACGTATTATAATTGTTCTCCAAAACAACAGTTATTGTCTCATGAGCTTCAAGATCCACACTTATTTTCCCATAAAGCTTTCTAAAAGTAGGCAATGCTGCAGTCCTCATCCATACTATAAGATCCTCTTGCTCACTCAACTATCATCATCATATAAAAATAACTTATCCAAATACTATATTTTTACTAAATAAATCAAAATCAAGAAAGTTAAAACACTTAAAACTTACAGGTATGCTTTGGTTGAGCTTTCCACCACCAATCAAACCTCCCGATTGAAAATTCTTCGGATACACATTTGACCCGAATTTGACCTTGGTGTCACTTTTCCATGCAATGCCCTTCTTGTTTATTTTTAAAACTTTGTCTTGCATTAGTAAATTGTAGGTGTCATTGAATAAACTCCATGCAATTAATCCACAAGGAACAATAGGCTTCCCACTACTCGATTTAGCTTCAGGCTCACATCCTTTTGTTGAAAAATCATCTTCTCCACTACGCAGTTGTTTGTCACTTCTACTTTTCACATATCTGAAAAGAAATAATCGAGGGCAATTTCGTAAATAGTTAACTTAAGTACTTAACCCTCGTGAGTTTCTGTATTGAGTCATTAAGATACTAACTTACCTACGATGGTTTTGGTAGAAGTTGTCAAGCTGATAATACACAAATATAGGGGCTTCCATTTTCTTTGGTACCTGTAGATACATGTGGATAAAGTGAATATTCTTCTGATGAGGGTATTTATGTCTTTTGATCAAAAGTGAGTTATGTGGAATACTATGAGAAGAGTGGACTAACAGTGACATTCTTGATGCATGTTTTGTTAGTGAGAGGGTTTTGAATATATGAAGTCATATTGCCTCGATAAATTTCAGGGACACAATCTTGATCATAGCGATACACAATTTCCACCACCTGCGTAACAATAAGAAGGTTTGATATAGCATAAGAAGTAAGAGCGCTACTGATAAGCACGTAAAAGTTTGATTCTTACACGTTCTGATGCAAACAGAGAGACAAGTCCGATGGGGATGAACAGCATGGCGATTGCTAGAAACGATGTGATCACCCATCCTGGGGTTAGGATTGGTTTCCAGGCGGGAAGTTCTTGCTGTGTAAACCTAGAATCTGGAATGATCGATTATCATTAGACGAGAAATCAATCGAGGTATATTGCGTAAATGATGTGATTGAAATTATATATACGTATTCACCACTTCGTTCTCTTCTCGATCATATAAATTCGAGTTTATTCTCGCTACGATTTTGAGATAAACCCTAAAACGGTTTAATTTTACTAACAGCATAATGTAACCAGGCGTAAATACCCCCAAAAAAAACTGAAAACCCCTAGGAGATGATGAATTTTTCAGAGATCGAAGAAATCATGTCGAAAACTGTGTATGCATTATAAGATCAAGATCTCCAATTAAAACGAAAACCCACAAACCCTTAGGCAATAACTGGCGCAGTAAACCAGTAACCACTTCAATTCCAGAACACAAATAAACCCAAAATCAGCAGAGGGGAAACAAGAATTACAACACCTGGAAAACAAAATTATACAAAGCACTGGAAACTATACGAATGCTGTAATGAAGTTTTGAAAAAAAAAATCTTAGGGGTTTTGCATAACGAATTGCAATGCATGTGAATATCAAAGTGAAGTTGCGAAGTATGATGTATAGTTGAGAGAAAGAAGTACATACATTCGGGTTTTTTGGAATTCTTTTTGGATTTCGAGGCTCCATTGGTGACCTCTTGATTCATGCCTGCGTTTGTAAATTTGGGGATGAATGATGAATCGGTTGGCAACATAATGGTAAAGCCATAAAGGGAAGTGTTGTAGGCAAGGAGTTGCACGATTGTGACACGTGTCTTCAGTGATTTGCATTTTTATTTTACTAGTTTAAAAGATTGATTAGAATAAATATTAAATAGGGAAAATAGCTTATGAAGTTTTTTTGGGTTCCTTATTTATATTTATCCTTTGAAAATCAATCAAATCAAATTTATGATATTTGATTTATATTATCATTTTTTTAACACAAGTTATTATATATTATTATATTGTTATTATTATTATTATTATTATTATTATTTAATATCATTATTATTATTGTCATAAATTTCGCACCAAATTTTAAAATTCGGACGAATTTATAGACATTATAAATTCGAATGGCTATATAAAATCAGTTTTTGAATATTTTTTATATTTAAATATTATTATTATTATTATTATTGTTATAAATTTCGAAATAAAATAATTGGTTATATAAAATTTGAACAAAAGCAAAGTTTGTTCCTATTAATTACTACGCAGAAAACATTATATAGTGTTCGATTAAATGTTTTCAATCCGTATAACACACTACGTAATTATAATACCGTACCAATTAATATCCGTAATTAATAAAGATAAACTTTGCTTTTGTTTCGATTTTATATAATCGTTCGAATTTATATTGTCTGGTTTATAAAATGCTGTTCGAAATTAATAATAATAATAATAATAATAATAATAATAATATAAAAAAAATTAAAACCGATTTTATATAGTCGTTCGAATTTATAATGTCGTTCGAATGTTAAAAATTTGTGCGAAATAATAATAATAATAATAATAATAATAATAATAATTAAAAAAGAATTAAAAACAATAAAAAAACAAAATAGGAAAAAAAAACAACAACAAAAGACAAAAAATCAAATCAGGGGTGGGATTGGAAAATAATGGGGGTACTTATAAAAAACCTCTTTTTTTCCATATTTGGCTATTTATGTTGTTATATTTGTTTACATATTATCCTTATCACTAGATATCTCAATAATGATGGTAACATGTTAACACATTTAATAAATTAAATTGTCAAATGTGTAAAAAAAACAGAAATTGCTTAAATGTGAACAAAACGAAAAGCTAATTACCATGATAAATCATTTTCCCCTTTGAATAGTGATTTTATTTTTCATATTTGTTTGTATTATTTTTTTTTCTAACATTATTTTTAAAATATTCATAATTTCCTAAATATTAATTAACTATTGATCAATTCTTTTGTTTTTAATCATATATTCTTTTGTTTATATATATATATATATATATATATATATATATATATATATATATATATATATATATATATATATATATATTCTTTTGTTTTTAAGCATATAGAATATTTGTAAAGTAACAATAACAATAAAATTAATAAATTAAATATATAACAATAAGTATGAAGGATCTTTTAAAAATGTAAAAAGAAAATATTACATAGCACATAAAAAAAACAAAAAAAATCTAAATAGTTGAAATGTTTTAAAATTATTACAACTTTTTAATTAGAAGTTTATAAACTTTTAATATTTTTAATACAATGTTTTAATTTATTATTTAACGAATGTATTTTAAAATGTTATACAAAATATTAAATTGTCATACAAAATTAGTAAAACACTTTAAAAATGTTGTAAAAGAAAGTTTAGAAATAATTGTATGAAATTTATAAAAAAAAATATGAAAATGTTTAAATAAAAATTAAAAACTTGTAAGAAAAAATTAAAATATTTAGAAAATATTTGACTTAAAAGCACTTGTATTATAATTATATGAAATAATTAAAAAAAAGTTTAAAAAAAATTATAAGCAAAGTTTAAATATTTTATTATAAAAACATATAAGAAAAAACATATCATAATAATAATGTAAAAAAATTTTAAGAAATTAAAAAAAAAAAAAAATGTTCACATTTATGCAATAGTTTTATACAAAATTGACCATTTAACTTTTAAAGGTGTTCATATAGTAGATGAAAAATGTAATATATGAACATGTTTAACAAGTTAAATGGTCAAATATGTATAAAAAATGTCTTAAAGTAAACGATACGAAAAAATAATTACCCTGACAAGTCATTTTCCCTATTAAATATAATGGACATTGTCAATTCAGTAAAAAAAAAAGTTACAATCAATTCAATAAAAATATTAGAGATTGCAAACTACAACATGTCATCCAACCTAAGCTTTATTATATCATATTTGGTCAATCTAAAATTTAAATATTATATTTATCTTTTTTTAATTTGTAAAATATGGTATTTATCCAAATTTAATTTTTAAACATTTTCTAAAATCGTTTAATCATTTTTTATATTTTATAATTATTTTAATTTACTAAATGGCAAAATTACCCTTCAATATTAAAACCCTTTTGCCATAATTTTGATTAAATACTTAGGGCATCTCCAACCCACCCCTAAACTTCATTTATTCCCTCATTTCTTCTCTCATTCTTCTCCAATCCTACCCCATTTTTCACCCCCATTTTTGGAAATATGAATAGTATTCCCCCATATATGGGGGAATACTATTCATATCTCCAAAAATAGAGGTGAAGTTTGGTTGTCAATTTTAGTCTCTCTCATTTTTATTTTATACATTTCTAGTTTATTTAATCTATTAATAATAATTTAAATACAATATTTAATATTTATAATATAATGTTATATACTAGTTTATATTAATTAATCATAAATATAGAGTTTAATTAGTAGATGGTGTATTTGATAATATATATAAGTTATAAAAATGGAATATTCCAAGAATATACTTTTTGGGGTAAAAAAATAAGGTAGAAAATGGAGTAGGGTTGGAGATGAAACACTATTTACTCCATTTTTTTACTCCATTTATGGGGGGAAATGGAGATGGGTTGGAGATGGTCTTATGATGCAGTTGTTCCTCACATATATTCCTTTAATTATCCAAAACGAACACCACATGGTGAAACAAATTTTTAAATACATTAAGATTTTGGATTGTTGGGTTACACCCATTTACCTAACAAGTTCATCCTTTCCCAAAGTTTTTTTTAGATTCGAACCATTTGTTAGACCCACTCTGTTATTCCAAGTTACTCGACCCATGAGTAACATTAAAGCTTCCATGATTCTAATTTTGTCCACATATACAGGTATCTGAATTGATAGACATAAAAGCAGTACCTTTATGTCTTGCATCCAAAAGAAGACCTTCAAGTTGTTTAAATGGATCCACCATTGATGAAGAGTTACTCTCACACCACTCGATTGACTTGACCCTGAATCAAGCAAGTCAGGAGCCAGTTTAACTCGGCCCCTTTGGTCAACTACATGACCATGACGAGATACTTTTGAACCCTTGGTTTAACCTTATTGTTTCTTTTTACCCCGTGAACTTATCCCACCAAACAATAAACCTGTATGTTTTTTCTTTTCTTCAGAAACCTCAAATTCCGTATGTAGTGATTTAGTCGCTTTCAATTTTGAATGACCATTCACCGAATAAGACTCTGATTCAAACATTGATGGAGCAGTGGTTGATGAGTAAATTTTCATTCAATAAGTTGTTGTTCACAAAGTGAGATTAATCATTCAATATTGGTGAGGATACTCGGGGTAATTAGGTCAATCTAATTTATGGCAAAACGGTTTTAATATTGACCGACAGTTTGGTCAATTAGCTTTTTTTAAAGTATTAAAATGATTATAAAATATGAAATCTATTAAAAGATTTTAAAAAATGTCTAAAAATTAATTTTAGGCAAATACGATATTTTAAAAGGTAAGAAGGGTAAATATGATATTCAGATTTTAGGTTGGACAAATCCGACATTATGAAGTTTAACAAGGGTATACGTGAAAGTCACCCTATGAAATATCACCTAACTTTTGTTAGTTAAGCTATATGGCATGGGTATATAATGATACTCTAAGGAGGTCGAGATGGTATTTCTTCATGTAATGGAGAAGATTCGAACACCGCCCTAAAATGTAGAGATGGCAACACCTTGCAAAACTCGGTGGAGGACCAAAACTCAATCGAGATGGCCACATGACAAACATGTTTCTTCATTTAATTTCATTAAATTTAATTATATGTACATTTAATTCCAAAAATTAATAATAAAGTAGTGCGGTGGTGTGGTGGGTATTTCCGAATAAATATGGAATGGTGTAGAGATAACCTTATATGTAACATCTCAATCTGAAGGTATGAATTTAAAGTTTTATATATTTATATTTGCAGGGCAACTCAACAATTTGGAAGGCTCCAACTCGTCATGTAGGGTATTTAATACCCCGTATCTTCAATGTCTACTCAACGAGTTGGAAGGCCCCAACTCGACGAGTTGAAGGCTGAATATGAAAACCCTAATTTTTAGGGTTTGCACCCTATTTAAAGGCCTTAACTCTCATTTGTCACACCCCCGAACCGGAACACTGGAAATGTTCGGGGGAGGATGACTTCATATACAGTATCATAACAAATTGAATATAAATGAAACATAGCATCACAACCACTACATTGAATGTTTAGTAAGATCACATAGTGTTCAAATATTGTTTACATGACAACTGAAGCATGTGACAAAAATGAAGGAAATGATATGACGACATTCCATCCTCCAAATTTCTTGTGATTATCTATTATTGAGTTCCTGAGAATACAAGTGATTTTGAAAAGTGTCAACAATTAAGTTGGTGAGTTCATAAGCATTTTGTATGAAAAGTGTTTGTGATGTTTCGTGAAAATGATAGTGTATACTTCCAGAAAATTTAATATTTTCTTAAATATAAGTTATAAGTCTTGAGTACCAAGACTAGTAATGAAAGTAATGAAGTTTTATCTTTATATAAAACACCTTTTATGTTACCCCGTAAATCAAATATGTTGTTAATACCCTATGTGAGTTATTATAACCATACTAAAACGACTAGTGGCCTGAACGACATGCTTCGGGCGTTGGAACTATTATGACATTTGTCACCCCA